TTCCTGGCTGCTCTGTGACCGCTGCCTGCTGTAACCAGAGGTGACGCTGGATCTGTGTCATCCAGGCCGTAATCTTCGCCTGGGACACCGCCACGGCTGCGCACAGCGTGAGCGCCGTGCTGGCCGCCTTAGCGATCTCCTCCGCCTCCTCTGGAGCCACGGTGGTGGATCGCTCGAACCAACGTCACCACCGAGTTGGTCAGCAAAGCGATATTGTTTGCCGCTGCCGACGCCTGGAACGCACACTGGTGCGCCCGGTCAGCCTGGCGGGCGACATACTGGTCCTTGGGGTCGGTCAACATAGGGCGCCGTCCGGCGACCAAGTTAGCCTGTCTCACCCCGAAAAATGCCGTTAAGCTCGGTTCCAGAGCGGGGGTGGTTGGGAAAACCTCATCTGTGAAACCCTCCACCTTGATGAAGGGGACAAAGGTGGCCACCGGAGCCCTCAAGCTCCTCGGGTTCGCCGCTGCACCTTCCTGATAACGCCTAATGGCGGGGAAGCGCGGCCAGATCGGATCACTCCTGCCCGTCTGCATCCGGGAAAACACGCCCGCCATGTCGTCCAGAGCCACCCCTCTCCCGTACTCGTGGAACGGGGAGACCTCTACATGCTGCTGCCTTGCCGATTATTTCCGGCAGCTCCAGCATGATGCCTCCCAATGCCGGTAGCGCCGTGGCCACGGAGAAGGGGACCACGTGCTCCACCGCCACCTCTGACTCTCGCTCCGACCCCGTCTCCCCGTCCGGGGAAGAGGGGGAAGGGGAGAGCCGCATGGTGAGCCCTGGAGGGAGGCGGGGAAGGAGTCGTCCGACTCCTGCCCCCCACTCGCCTCCATAAACAGGCTGTCCTGGATGGGCTCCTGCCCACCCCAGACGTCTTCCTCCCCCGCAGCAGCTAGAGCGTCCGCCCTTCGCTTCCTGTCGGATGAAGGAAGACGCACACAGTGAGGACATGCGACCTGTTGGCTGAGAGCCGCGTCCGCGTGCTCTGGCCCCAGACAGGCTGCGCATATCGGATGCAAATCGTAGCTCATAATGTAGCCCGTATTGCACGAAGGGCACATACGGACACACTCTTTATTGCTCATGATGTTGCTTTTCTCGTGCTTCAGTAAACTGCTGGTTGCTGAAGAAAAGAGGGAGCAGATCACCGGGCAACCTCCCTATTTATACCGGAAGGTGGCCCGAGGGTGGGGCCCACCTAGCGGGTGGGCGTGGACTACAAGTGTTTTCAGTACTGCGCGGGGGCGCAGAAGGGTAAACCCAATAGCGATAGCCTTAGAGGGCGAAGCCATATACGAAATAGAACAGAAAACACAGAACCTAAATACACACAGGACTAATCAAACAAACAAGAGACAGGTGAGGAGGGAGGAGAAAACACAGGGGCACCAGATGAACACAATCGGGTAATCAGGGAGGGAAAACAGACAGAAAGCAACAGGCAGGAACGGGGGGTGAACACTTTACAAAATAAAACAGGAAACCAAAGACAGAAAAAGACAAGACAAAACACAACACAGGCAGATCGTGACAGTAATATAGATTCAGTGCACTGCTACAGCCTGGAATGATAATTTTGTTAAACATTAGATGAATATTATTTATACCTGATATTACTGAGTAACTGTCCTGACTTAAAGACTTTGATTATTTCAGTGACAGAAGGAGCAGCATGGAGGACTTTGCGGGATTTTTTTACCTGCCCATAAAACCGCACCAAGAGATCATGGACTTAACGTTCAGTCTACATCCTGCAGTGGAGAAGTAAGCGCTCTAATATACATGTGATTACAGAAGAAAAAACATTGCTTAGCTTAGCAAGTAACAAATATATTATGTATAATATATTACATGTATAATAAATACATGTTTGTAAGTTTGTTTTTATTGCAGAGCAGATATCACGTACTGACCTTTAAATGTAATTCCAGAGCTGTGTGTGTGAGGACCAGCAGTAAGGGATATCCTCCGTCTTTCTAGAGTCTCTCAATCTCACAGTGAGTTCACTTTTTATTACTCATGCTACACCATGATGCTGTTATTGATTGGTGTATACATAATGAAATATATTCCAAAGGTGATGATGCTGTCAGGAGGAAGGAATCCTTGAAGTCGAGACACTGAGACTCTTTATTCCAGTTAAAGCGACTTGCAGATGACACAAAAATCCAAACTGCGATTTTTGCACTGAAATTGTTGTCATGTCTGAATCTTTGCACATATTATTTCAGTTTTTATGTATAATCTTATTTGTGTATGTTGCCGATCATGACGCTAACACAAGGATAAAGTGGCTAGTTGATATTGGTAAATGTCATAGAACAGTAGGTTCATCCAGTAATGTCTCGTTTATCTTCCTGTGTGGAATTTTGGAATTGGAAAAGATAATACTGGTGAAATGAGTTCTATATTTTTAAGCTAAAAAGCTTTTATGTTACTGGCAAGCGACCACAAGAGTTAAATTGCAGATCAAATAAAAATAAACAGTCAGAACATGATCCAGGCAGCTGTTATACTTCACAGCAAAATATCAGCAAAAAGTTTATTTTTCCAGACCACAATTTTCAAATATTACTTAACTGTAATTTTATTTTTGACGGATAAGGTATTCTAGCTGCTTTACCCTTAAATGTTATTAATGTTTATCTGTTTTTTGAGGATTAAGATTGTGTCCTTTTTTGTCCTGTTGTTGATCTGCAATTAGTTTTATATAAAATATTGGTGAAATGCAACAACCCTAAAGTACACCGTTACACTGAGAAATTAAATAATTATTTTTGTACAGAAAAAAAGGATCACTCATTAATTTAAATAAATAATATGTTAAGATCAAATAAATAGCTGCATTTTACAGCCTTTGTCATTTCAAATTCATTGGTATTTTGCCTTTTTCATCTGATCACCAAACAGATACCATTTAATACATAAACATACGTTATTAGTTTATTTTGTATACCTGTATAATGTTTGGGTTTATGAGTTGAGCAATAATCTAACATAACAAGAAAAACAGCAATACAGAACATTGGGTTTAGGGCAAATCGGTGAATATTAAATAACACATTTTGAAGGCTTTGGTGAGAACTATACAGAAACTACAAATCCTGGAAAACATGTCATTTTTTTGTCCTTCAAAAGTTCCATTAAATGAAAAATATTTGCCAAATTGTTCCTGAATAAGCTGCATAATGTACCATTTATATAACCCTGTATTTTTGTATGAATGTTGTATTGGTGGTGGTCCCTGTGGGATTGAAACTGTAACTGTGCATCACAAGCTTATGTTTTTAGTGCCTTCTTCTTTGTATTTCACAATTGTTCTACAATAAAGTTGTAAATATAATTTGAATCATGATGTTTGTGTGAAACTATGTGTTTTATTGCAAAAATAATTTTCTGGCATTTACAAAAGCTATTATCACCTTTAAATGTGATGAGGTGATTATGTGCAATTCAGAGAAAGATATCGAATTGTTTTATTTCATTTGCAGATTCAAATTAATAAAACAAAATATGATCAATGCATTAATTATAATATATTTGTATACATTAATATTCATTTTATGAATCAACATGAGCTATCCAGCAGTAATAAAGTTAATACAATTAGCTTAACATAAATGCATCAATACATATGATCAAATAATATGTATTATTATTATAGACTGTATGATTATTATGCATGGTTTTGGTACTTGAAGTTTTCATGTTTATAATGTAATAACTTTTCTAAAAAGTAAATGCAGGTCTGGTAACACAGGCTAGGTGCTAATGCGAATGCTGTAACCGCACATTAAAAACCGTAGAAGAAGAAAAAGCAGCAATCCTCCGTGCTTTAAGTGAATCCATCTTTTTATACCGGTAAGTACGGTTCAGAAAGCTAGCAAGAGTTCAACTAAAGTTTATTTTATCTTTATCTATGTGTGTGTATCGTGATAACTTACCTTGCGGAAAGAGTTCGTGTTTAACCTGTTAGCTCTCTCTGTAACTTATGCCAGGAACGTCTGACGTTATAACAACACAGAGCCGGATATAATTGGTTACGCCCAAATATTTAATTCTACGTTTTAAATATGAGTTAGAAGTAGACAACACAAAATCATTTAAAAAACAATTTAAAGAAAATGGCAATTGTTGATAAAGAAATAATTTAGTTTTATATGTTTTGGAAGTTTCACTGTTAGGCTCTGTTTCCCGCCTTGTAAGCTTACATGACAAGAGCAACATAATGTGTTTGAAATCTGTTTTTCTTATATACGTTTCTTTTTAATGAGCCATAAGGGTTTGTTTATCCTTTTTGATTTGAATTCCTTCCAAAAAAACGGTTATCATTACAGAAAACATTGTAATCCCCACTCAAACAAGCAGAACAGTAATATAATGTACATGCATTTTGTTTATTTCTCAGATTTCTACATTAAACATCACATTTACTGCACTGGTACACACTTTACCTGGATTCACATACCTGCAGTTTATATAACGTTTTTATCCTTTCAAAATTCACCTAATTACATTAGGTATATCATTATTTTATTCTTGTATAACGTCTGCACTATATTTTGTGTCTGATCATAACATTTTTGTTGCATTTCCTCTGACTTTGTTTTAAGAATTTGATAAATAAATACTTTTTGCCTAAATAAGTCAGTTTAGATCAGACCAGTTCTTTAAATATGTCCTGAAGTTGGTACTTGTCTGATAGATGTTTAATGTGTTGCATGTTGCAGTACCGCTGTCCTCCAGCAGGAGGCAGAACAACCTCACACACCTGATGTTTGTTTCCTCTCTCCGGTGAGTAAAGTTTAAACCTAATTTATTCTTTGTCTTTAAAACTCATACCTGTCTTTCTCCTTACTGTTATACGTGACACTAACATACCGTTCATTCCCATGTTTGTATTTCGTTTCATTTGCGCTCTATAGTTATAGGCTTTTTTGTACAACTTCATATTGCGGACGCTGAACAACATTTCCCCCCTGATAAATAATGTTTTATTTTGTTGATTTATTTTTGGTTGTCTATAGAGCCACCTCTGTTGCAAGGCTACAAATGACTCATGAATGAACATTAGCAATATTCAACAATTATAATATGACACTTGCCACTTAAAAGCATTTCTCACCAGAAGAAGTAGAACTGCAAAGCTATAGGGAGAAGTGTGGTTTCAAACTAAAAGTACCAAAAGAAGTAATGGAAACCACATTTTTTTTAAAAAGATCATTGAAAATGTACACGCGGTGCAATATTTTACCGAAGTGTACCAAAGAATCATCTGAGAGCATCAATTGCCACACAATTTGGTTTCTAAAATAAATGTACCTTTGGTAAAAAGGTAGGTGTTATAAGTGATATGTTTTCATGTATACTTAAGTATGGTTTGCTGTCACTGTGCACTTTTGACAGAGAGAACATAATATTAAAAAAAACATTTGCACATGCACGCTCCACAGAGGTCAAAGGTCACTAGTCAAATAATTGTTTACTTGGCACCTACAAAAGAAGGCATGTGCGCTTATCACACATTTACATTTTTGGACATGGGATCGTTAAAGTAATGTGTGCCTTTTACTGATAATGCTTGATTGAGCCACATTACATTTTCTTTTTAATATTTTATTTATTGTCTTATCTTTAACCTTGGTTTTGATGTTCAACATACATCAGGGTTTGCATACCTATCCTCTCTTATCTATAATGAAAGGAGCTTCATAGGACTTTTAATTAAACAAATGTAGACTTAGTAAACAACATTGCTTTTTGATATTCACAATATATGAATAGGTCGAGGTGTAAAAACAACACAATAGACAAAAGGTTTACCCTAAGATATAACATATTTAATAATCAAATAACATAATTTAATCAAAGGGCCATTGCTGTTAATGTAAGTCATATTTTCCTATCATACAGAACCGTTTTGTTTCATTCTTATTTTTCATCAAGTGCCAGCGCGATGACAAACGGGATTTAGGGTGTAACCTCGCGATACTTCCCACCTCTCTCTCTCCCCCTCTCGCTGGCTCGGCGGGATGATGGGAGTCCGGCCGGTTAGCCCGCAGAAACGCAGCTCAACACCCTCTGAGGGCAAAACTTCCACTTTTTCCTCCTCTATGAAATTCCCCAAAAACAAGAACAATTAATGAACGGCAACAGCTGGACACGAGAAGGGGACTTTTATTTTGGAGGCGAGTTTTCTTCTTGTTAATTATCACACCTGAGAAGAAATTAAAAAGAAATCCCTGAGGTGAAGGCTTTTAAAAAGAGGGGGATAAAGAAAGCTGGAGCAGCTCCCGGAGGATAACAGCGGCTAAAGTTGTGGAGATGCCGGAGGAGGAAGCGGAGCAGGCGGAGTGATCAGTCCGGTGCGCACCCTCCTCTCCCCTGCTGCACGGAGCGCCACAGTCCGCTAACCTGCCACTGGTGGAGGGACTCTCCAACTCCTCAGGACCCTCATCATCACTCTTGGATGTAAAACAACAAATCTTCATCTTATTCTTCATCCAAGAGATTTTTATCCAAACTCTTTTTTTCTTCTAATTTGTTGGCTCCGTGCGGAGTTTTTGTCTCGTGGATCCGCCGCTGTGCGCCTCCTCCCCGGATGGGATCTGGCAACAGTGAGCGGGGCGCGGCGGAGAAGTGATGGAGTGAAAACGAGATTTAAAAAAAACCCCACGAACCCGCAGTTTTTAACGCAGGAGTTTCACATGTGAGTACATGCGTTTTATTTGTTATAGCTGCTTTAGGTTTTAGGGTGTTATGTGGGGTGAACTCTGACCTTTTTTAAGAAGCAGTTGTGTGGAAAACACCTGCGACACTCCGCAAAAATCACTAATGTCAACGAGAAGTTTAAGTTGTATCCTTCTCAAAGATACACATAGGGGAACCTTTATCCGTTTGGCACCAAATGTTGGCTTGTTTTGAGTCTAAATGGGGATACAAGTAGATTTTAAAATGTCTCAAACTTGGATTTCTGCACATATGATGATAACAATGCTCATTTTCACCAGAAAACTCCACAAACCACCCTTTAAAGCACATTTCTCTCTTCATCCTTTCCCTGTTTTGAGCCACTTTTGCCCTCCAGAGACCCAGTTACCTTTTGTATCCATGCAACCTCTTATGTGCGGTGCTGAGCCGAGCATGCCACCTCTTTCCATTAATTAACCCGGACTGTTTGTGTAAGAGGAGATGCGTTTGGGGCTGTAGTTGCTGCAGGTTGTTATGCTAGTACAAATGAAATATTCCTGTAATATTTCCTCAAGTGCGTCAGTGGTAGTCATTGTAGTTTTATAACATTGACTTGTTTGACAGTATTGGATTTGTTTTTAATATTCCTCTGGTGGATTTGCACACTTAATGCATTAGTATTATTTGTTTCTCTTTTGCAAAGTCGCATCCTCCTATCACCGTGTTTGTGTGTTTTTTATTATGCAAACGTTCAAGTGATCTTAGTATCATGACCCTCTATTATGTCTACTTCCTGTCACTATAATATTTGTAGGCCATTGAGGAACTATCAGCTTTGGGTTTTATAGTGGGTTTCCGATTGCATTCATCTCTTAAAATATTTCTGTACTGTTCATTTTTGGCACTTGACAGTGTTTTTCTTGTGGGTGTTGTGGGGAATATCTCTCAAAATGCAATATACTTTGGTTTGTATGATGCACTGTGTTGCTCCGCTTGGATTTTCTGCATCAGAGGAGGTGATGTTAACATTTAGCTAAAAGAGACTGTTGGTGTGGAATGATCTTAATGTCTGCTGATTTCTTCACAATGCAATACTTACATTTCATTATTTCTTTTTGTGAGGGGTTAGAGAAAAGAAAAATAGAGCATAATCGTCAAAAAACAGACAGAACAGTTAGACCTGCATCTTCTCAAACATGTTTGGCTGAAAATACTAAAATAGTTAAAGGCTCCTTTTTAAATCTTATAACCTGATTGCGGGGACTCTCAGGTGAACGTTTATTGAAAACATAAATCAAAAAGTGCGCTTGAGAAACTGTAAGTTTGCTCCCGTAATTGAAAAATGAGAGATACATTTGCTCCATTTCTCAGGCGCCTTTGGTTGCAGCCTGTAAGAGTGGAGATCAGGGAGTGGGTAGGAGGCAAGGTAGGACACAAGGAAGAAAGGAATGGAGGACATGAGGATGAATGGCAATAGAGGGAAGGAAGAAAGGATGTGGTAGATCAGAGACGATGCTTCTTCCTGTGCAGCATCCATGAACCTAATTTATTTGAATAAATGGCTTGTTTTCCTCCTGTTTAGAAGGTTTTTGTCAAATAAGAGACGTACATGTGTTGAAAGATTGACACAACAAAGACGCAAAGCTCACTGTAACATATCCGACTCACCTTCAACTTGAAGCAACTCCGCAGGAGGTGAGCAGCGCTGCATATAATACTTTTATGTATTGGGAATGAAAGGCGGTGAATGTTTAAACAGCCAATATGAAGAATCTGCTGTCACTCTTAAATATATCATTTATTACAAACTTTAGTAATGCGCCAGTGAATCCGGGAATGTTTAAAGATTCCTTAATTTAGCAAGATTTTAAGACAAATTGATGCGCATGATTGCATATCCGTGGGTGAAACGTTTTAGCACAGTATGCATATAAATCATTTGGATTTTTAGCTGGTAAACCGGTTTTCCCCCCAAAATGAGAGGGAAGTGTGTTTTTGTTGTTTTGACTTTTGACTACTGCATTCATATTTAAGGTATTTGGGTTTACAATCAAATCATTGCGTTAAAAGGCATTGCGTTTCCCCCACCCAAAAAAAGGACATTAAGGTGGTCTTTGCAAACGGCATGTTGCGTCAATATGTACGTTAATTCATAGGTGGTGACCTCTAGTGGCTGTAATCATTAAAACGGGAAACAAGAGGAAGCCCTGCAGGAACCCAAAAGTCAACGTTCACTTTCTAACAAACATTACTTGCATACGCAGCAAGCTTACTTATTGTAGTCTAAACTATGATCTACGCTGTTACTGTCTAACCAGTTTCTTATAACCAAACAACCTTTTCTGTCGCTTAGTAAAACATGTTGCCTATACTTTCATTTATCTTCAAGAGCTTTCAGGCAGGAGACTCCAAATCAATGCAGCATTGTGTTACTCAGCAAACGAGTAGGACACTTTTTCACTAGAATATTTCAATGGAAATTCAGCATTTATCAGTTGGGAAGTATTGCACATAGAGCCACTGTGACCTGCGTCTCCCTGTGACTTCAGCAGCTGAACATCTTATTCCTCCAGCCTCCTGCAGCGTTATTAAGCTGTGTGTCAGTGTGAGTTGGTACACCCTTTGATTAAAGGTGCAACACACTTTTTAACAGTGTGTGTGTATGTGTGGAGCAGTGATTTCAGGCTGTAGCTGTTTCAACACCGCCCTGCTGCAACAGGTGTCCTGCTGCACCGCCTGCCTCGCATGCGTTACATTTATTTGTGTGTGCGTGTTGTGTAGAGCTGAAAGCCCCACACAGTGTTGTGCTGTTTGTTCAGTGTGTGAGCAGCAGCCTGACCTTTGCTGCACGGCGCTGAGACAACATGAGCTGCTGTGTGACGGACGAGGAACATCCGTTCTCCAGCTTTTTATCTGCAACCTTTGTGAAGCAGAGTCTGAAACCTGAGAGTGAAATCCTCCTGAGAGCGTGCAATCCGTGTTTGCTTCACATTCATTTGTTTTCGTGTGTCTTCAGTTTGATTTCATGGCTATTAACTCTATTGAAAGACTCAAACATTCGTGTCATAGCCTGGCAAATGTGACAAGAGCTTGTGACGGGAACATTATTGTCCCTTTTTGAAAACAAGAACTTTTCACCTGCGTCTCCCTGAACTAAGGGTTACATGTCATTCTTTTGTCTCCAGACATAGAATAGTTAATCACTGTCAACTATATAATTAAGTTCCTTTCATCTAACTCGCATTCTCAATTACATTTAAGGGACAAAACCATGTTAACATTAAACGCAAGAACAAGACTGCAACAAAATGCTCCATTTATGTTGCGGTGTCACTTCTGTAGATGTTTTTAACACCTTTATATACTCTTGTCTAGTTTAATCTACAGCAATACATCACATTTGACAAGATAATCAAACGTTAGATTTGTTTCGTGTATTCCTCACAGACCTTGTTCACATGTTTTACATATTTTTAGGACATTGTTTATCAGAAAACGGCTCTATTTTCAGTTTTGTGACGATCCCTTATCGGAACCCTGTTTTTTCACAAATGTTCCAATATTTTGGGGATATTCTTTTTGGCTTGTTGATATGAATACAGTTTTTTACAATATTTGTCAGGATATTTGTAACTAGTCTTATCAGATATTTTACAAACATTTATTTTGGGCATTTTTTGAAATGTTTCTACATATTTTCCACTTTTTTCATAAATCTTTTCCTGATAATCTTTGTATATTTATCTCAGTTAAAGACTCATATGAAGAAGTCAATCCAGTTTATCATAAACATTGAAAATCATCTGGACAGACATGGTTGACAGTGACAAACTGAAGGGTAACTAAAGCTGCAAAGTTGCAAGGTTTCCCTCTGAAATGTAGAAGTATAAAGTATCATGAAATGACAGAAAGCCCAGTGATCTGCTTTAATCTGTGATCCTCTCCCCGAGCGCTGACACTTTAATTATCTGTTATTCCTCCTGTTAGTGACGCCTTCATTCTTCCCTTCAACTGCTTCACTGCTAAAATCTGAAGAAACGTTAGTCAGCACAGTGTCCAAGTGAAGTTAGGAGGGAATATTTCACCTCTTTGTGCTCAAATTGATTCACTGAATTTAAAGAAATAGATCTGTCTTGTTAACTTTGATCAAAAAGGTACAATTCACGTATCATTTAGGAACACACTGTTCTGGAAAGTAAAAAGACAGTTCATCTTCTTTCTTCCTCCTTCTTTCTTCCTCCTTTCTCCTTCTTTCTTCTTCCTAATGATCATTTCAAATTAGATTTCTTTTTCTGCCACACTGTGCTTATCTTAGGCTCGTTTACATCTTAATAAAGGTTTCATAAGAACCTGAACTTTATCAGCTGACGAAGATAATGTGGCATAGAAGATGTCTTTTCTTGGAAATGAGTAATGCAGCATGAAAGGATGATACAAAAATACTTACTGAATAATATTCTTAGTAGACTAAGAACTAAACGACAATAAGTCGATCAAAATGTGGCATCCCTAGCTATTCAAGCACTTAATAGTAACGGCATAATATTACATTATTATTTATACTTATTTTTGTTAAATAGAGTTAGTATAAATAGTTCTGAAGGTACTCTAAAAAAACCGATGTACACGGCTGTCCTTGGCTTAAAAGAGTTTTGTCACAAATAATCGTGCCAAAGCGTCTCTTGTCACCAGCAGTTCAGAGATGTTCATACGTTTTAGAAAAGTAAATCAGCATTAATAAAGCATAAACAATGACTAAATACATTTCTGTTGACTAACAAACAAAAAAAACACAACTACTATTTACTCAGAAATACATTCAAATAGTACTTTTCTGAATGGAAGTAAACGGTATTACTGCTTAAAATCCTGCTGTGTACTTGTAGCCCAGTTATATCAATTATGTTGGCAAAAGTATAAATATTTGTTTGGACTGTGGTTTAAAAGAAAAAGCAGCTGCAGCCGTGAGTCACATGAAAGAACATCCCAGAGAGCAGCATGTGTCAGCTTTAAAGG